CCATATAATTTAATTGATGGATTACTTCGAGCAAAACTACCAACATGATTCATAATCATCACTGCCTTGTGATCAGTTCATAATATTTTTCATTCTCTGTTCTCTTGTGCTAATTGTAAAAACAAATGATTTTCCCATAATTTGAGTTATGTAGTCAATAAAAAACCTTTCAATATAAATATAAGTTACGGATTTTTATATAAGACTACATTTATTTTCAATGGGAATTCAAATAGTTTAAAAATTAAAATTCAAGGATATTAAATTGTATATGGACCAAGCTCAACAACTATTTTGAGAACTTGATACTTTAAATAATCATATGGCCCATTAGCTAATAAATTAGTTGCAAGTGGATCAATGTTTAAAAAACTATAAAGCCCAATTAAAAGGATCTACAACTAGAAATAGCTGTACAAGAATATTTAAAAAAGTTATCGTAGTGATCCTAAAGAGGAGTCAATCAACTTCTAGATGATAATGGAGTTATAATCCTTATTAATTAGTGCTTAAGTTTAATCTTCCACTAATCTAAGCATAACAAAATATGAGTGCTAACACCGTTTAACCAATCTATAAATTTCTCTTAAAGATTCTAGGACATTGGCTACTTTTTTTATTTTATTACAAGAAAAAAACGTGTTAGTCTCATTTTGTCTTTTTTTTTTCTTTTATAAGACCGTTAGAGATTTTGATTTTTGATCCATAATCTCTTCGGGTCCGGGACCAGCCGTTGATAATACTAAGTTTAAGGCGTAGATCATATTTTCAAAGTAGAGTTGAACTACTGATTTTGAAGACTTTTTTTCAAGTCTCAAAACCACTAGAACACCAATTACTTGGTATTAGTCTCATTTTGTCACATGCATTATAACCTTTAAGTAGGTGAAGCACCTAATTTGATAACCTGGTGAGCGTATGTATAACTCTACGGTACCTATAAAATTAATTATTGTTAATAAGTGTACTTTAAATTAAAAGACGGGACCAGAAAAGTAATAGAGATGGTGATGCGATACACGAGAATATATCAAAGATTATATAATTTTGTAATCAATATAATTTGAAATCTATAGTAAACTTATAAAAACTAAAAAATCTAACTTATTTAATTGGTTTATATAAATATTAAAATAAAACCATTTTTAAAGGGATATGATTATATGAAGAATGTTGAGTCGTATTGGGGAATGATTTTTTTTTACGAAAAAGAATCATATATTTCAAAAACATTTTAGAAACAAATAATTTACGATTTGGTATAATCAACATGCAACAAAAATGTGAAAAAAAATGAAGCAAATTAATTTAATTCTCGATTTGTTCTGCCAAAATTGACCATAATTTTCGCGCAGCCTAAAAAACATAGGTCCAGGTTCATTGAACCTGGAATCACCTGGTTCTTTGATTTTGTTATTTAACATCAAATCTTAAAGCAG